GGGGGCGGGCCTAGATCCGCCCTTGATAGCATATAATGTATACACTTATGCTTCATAATAGTAAGTGTGTCCAGCACATGTGCATGTACATGTACATGTATTTCCTATATATAAGTCCGTGGAAGTTTCAATATATCCATATTATATTATGTTTAATTGTAGACTATAAATGAGACTTGTTTTATATGTAGACCTTACTAATTAATATTAGTCAGTTACTTTGGACTTAACCTTAAAACCAAAATAAGAAACAGAATAGATTTGTTCATTATTCGTTCACGGAAAGTACCGAAGGTTCCCGATTGGCAAAGAGAGGGCAGCAGTGACGTCATAAATGCATACTAAAGACCTGATAAATGTTCCGGCGTTTTTAATAGACATATTTGTCCTTAATTAGTAAAACTATTCCTTTAAAAACAGAAAAGCCTTAGAGTGTAAAGTTTTACATTAAAAAATTGTATCTATAAACACATAGATTTGATTGCTAAGTACATATTTTGATTCGTAGACTTAATCCATTCAGGTTAGTTCGATCAAAGTTCATGTCTTTAGCATCACCGGAACGTTTGGAAACCCCCTAACTTTCCCGAAAATTTAACGATTGACATTACACGACTAGGAGCTCTGTCTTTTAAGAAAAGTTCCAGGTCCGGACGTCAGTCAGATTTGTCGATTTTACCGAGGAGTTTGTTATCCAATTCATATAGAAAAAATGGCTGATGTAGAAGGAGGTAGCTTACAACCAGACGATGAGACGCACGAAATCATATTACAGACTGAGCGACTGTCGAACATGCAAGTCGAAAATACTGACGGAGGATTCGTCTTCACTGTGACTGACATGACTCGACTTCTTCGCTTTCTTATCCTTGGTACCGAGGGAGGCGTGTATCACTACGATGAGAAGGATTTGAAACGAGATAATATCCTCAGTATTGACAGGTAATATCATTGAACGATATCTACTTTCGTTTTAGGTTGGATCGTCATGGGGTTGATGTGAACATATTGCGTGTATTGAGTTGGGCTGTACGGGTTGATCGTGTACCATGTATTGTCCCTCTTAACAGCATTTTTAAGTGACTCTTTGTATAGATAAACAAAATTGTAGTGATGGCATGCTTAGCCCGCTGGAATAAAAAATATACAAATGAAGGACCTGATCCTCCTGAGCAGGAATGAGGTACAAAAAAAGGGTCAACTTGACTGAATCACTTAATGACTGGTTGACATTGAGGTAAGCCAATGGCTTTTTGTGATGTATGATAGATTGTCGTAGTAATAATAAACTGATGGTAATATGTTTTACGGCCCGACCGTTAGTGAGGGCGGAGCCAGGTTGTAAATGTATCAGACTATCGGTACTTTACTCTTTCAAGCATTGAGTGATATGTTAAATTACTAAATTAGACCTACATGTATAGCTATGCAGTGTATATTTGTCTTGACTTTGAGTTTGATGGAAGACTAAAAAACTTGTATAACTAGGCCTCTTGAAAACTGTCGCTGAATCAGAATGAAATGCCTGTAAACATAATGAAAGATCGCAGTTGGTGTGCTGAGGGAGTTACAAACCAATTTAGTAAACTGCATTTGTACATTTACGTAAAATAGATTATTATCAACAAGTTAACACACAAAATTACCATGCTACCTTTCCAGGTTGGTCTTGTTGTTATAACATGTCTTAGTAGTTGATATATGCTCCTCATTTTAAAAATTGACAAAATGATAGGATATGCTTCTATTTAGCTGAATTCATGATGAAATATTTATATATGGAATGTTTTTTGACCAAGATTGGTTAAAAATTGTCTTAAGTTCTTGAGAAGTCAAACATGTTAAATGTTAATTTTTACTAACACAAAAATAAAGAAATGGATGACAAAGTTTGATCAGGAATTTCCCTGGTTCAGACAAGTTAAACCGTGCAGTTAGCGACTGGCATGTCACCCACTGCACTTATATATATATATACAAAATGGAATTTGCTACATGTATTTTCTTAGGTAGTTACAAATTAATTTCACTTGAAGTCCCAAGAGTCATTTTCATTGAAATTGGAGTCAGTATCATTTATTGCTTCTTCAAATTGAATTGCTTGTTTTACTTCTATGTCACTAGTGACAGACAAACACATGAAATACAATGTAATACCATTTATTTGACAGCACATTACTAGGATGCACTCCATCGTACAAATCTTTGTATGATGTCTTTATAATTTTTTTTGATGTATTGTTTTTCTACCACGTTTCTTTGTGGAACATAACAAAAGGTCGCGATCCCATCTCACAGGTGTGGTATAAGCAAGTAATGCAGAATTAATAGTTTTCAAATCTTCCTCTAAGTGTTTATGCTGTATTTGTCTTTCCTCATCTGAATACATAGAATACTGCAGTTTCGTTTCAATGTATTGAAATCACGATTTTTTTTAAGAGAAACAGATGAAAGACATGTGAATTTCACAAAAACATTTTCAAGTGACTGAAAATAATTCGAAATATCTCTAAATTCAAAAATGATAGACTGCACATTTAATGAGATCTATAACATACTCTATCTCAGTTCCACCGGAATGAGTAATTTTATTTGTTAAATTACAAATGCCTGCAGCAAGGACAATCCAAATTCTGCGCAGTTTATCAGAATATGTGATGTTGTCCATTTTTTAGCTGACAATATGTTTGATATCTTGATGTTTTCTGCCTGGGAATATGATGACATGACATAAGTGTGAGAATGCGAAAGGTTCATTAGACTCTATATAAGTATTTAACTTTGCACCTCTTGAATCCATTGCAAAAATCAAGTGCCACATATTCTACAAAGACAATGACATATTAGGATAGATATTGTAAATCATGTATAATAGCATAGTTTTCTGATATCCACGAAAAGATATTTAGAGATTATCATATGACCATTTTGATATCACACCCCTATCAGCCCGAGAGTCCTGATATCGGGACTTGAGGGCTGATTGGGGGTGTGATATCAAAATGGTCATATCATAAACTTTTTATCATGTTTTTTTTCCCTTTAAAATAAACAAAACATACACAAAAAATATTTCTTTATTTCTAGTTCTACCATATAGTGACCATGCACCTTCAACTAATTGAAGATTTTGTCACAAAGTTGGATTTATGCAGCACAAATGACAGAGTATATATATTACATATTAATTAATAATTAATCACTTAGTTAAAGTTGATAGAAGGAAAATTTAGTTCGAGGAGAGTCTGAGAGAGAGAGAGAGAGAGGTCCGAGCAAGCCAGTGATTGGCCAGCCCCCACCGACAAAGCTTGTTCGGAAAAGGGGTAAATCATTATGTAAAGTCTGTTGAAGTAACTAATATATAAACTAATAAACTCATATTTTAATTATTGATATTCATAAAAATGGTAACAAAAACAATGATGTATATAAACAAAACAGCAACAATTATACGTAAAAAGTATGTGAGACATCAGATAATCTGTGAATATTTTGATGTCCGATTGTGTTTTTCTCGCAGTGTTCTTGTTTCTCATGCTTGCCACGACAGCTTCGGTATCATTAGCATTATTGAATTGTTCCCCTGCATCCATGACACGTTTCGTCTCCTTTTCCATTTGTTCATTGTCAATTATTTCGTCTAGTTCAACAATCCTTGCTGCAAATTCCTCCAAAATCTCCTCGCCAGTCGCCATCGTTGTTTATGCAGACGACAGGTGTAACACTTATAAGCAAAACCAAATCAGGAAACGGCGCCATCCGGGAATTTGGGTGGGACTTTGTAAATCAATCTTTAAATTATTTTTCATGAAACGGCATTTATTCTATGCCAACAATTTGTTTGTTTACAATAGAAGCAGACAGCAATAAACGGAAATGGCAAAATCAGGAAATTTAGGAGTGGGTGTGATATCACTTTTCTAGGGGGTGTGATATCACTTTCAAGGGGTGTGATATCACTCCAAGGGGGTGTGCTATCACCCAGGCTGATATCAACTTGTGGCAATTTTAGACTTATTACACATACAAAAAGGGTGTTATTATTAGTAAACATATGATAAACATATATATATGTATCTATCTTTAAGAATAAGTCCTTTGGATTACTTCAAACTAAACTTCAAGCCATACCAATTGCAAGGATGAGCTCTTGATCTATAAATATTGTATCCAGAGAGAATTTATGCATAGTATTTACAATTTTTGTGCTTTGTATGTGTAAAAATTAATTTATTAAATGCTATAGAAACTGGATTTATATGAATTTTCTATTAAAAATGAGAAGAATATGTGAAATCACAATTTTTGTAATTTTTTCAATACCCATCATTGCAGCCAAGAGATTCAATACATCTATTTATCATATATATATTGTGGATGAATATATTTGTTTCAGCAACTTACTGACTTTATGGTTAGTTTTAGCAATAGAGAAAATGTATTGTTTTCTCAGTTCAGCACATAAAACTGTATAGATTCTCTTTTCAAATCATACAGATTTGTAAAACAGTAGATTTTCTTTTATGAAAAAAAACCCGCTTTGAGATAGTAATCAAAAATTAAATTGTTATGGATTCATTTTTTTTCTTCTATTTTTTTCGTGCAAAATATCAATTGCCTTGATTCTTATATGTTTTTTTATCCTATCATTTTGCGTCACTGTGATAAACTCCCTTTTTTTTGACAACAAGCACGTTGTTTTGTTGATATTCCGTTTTCTAAATATATATCACTGCAATCTCTACCCAGAGTTGTCTAAGGGAGTGCAAGGACCGTAACTCTGCGTGGAGATTGATACCACTGCAGATAGTCTCGTTCAACCAGACTCTTGTTGTCTGCGCAAGCGTCTGATTGACCAAGACTACGTATACACTGCAGACGACACAATAATTTTTCGACCATTGGTAACGTTATGTCAAGAGAGTTTACATCTTTAACAGGAAAGTATCGAATATTTAAGTATCCTATAGTTAGATATAAGTTTTAGACCTTACACAAATGTAACGTTTGTTCGAGATTCGGCAAACGAGGACTTGTTTTGAGATCAAGATGGCAGAGACTACAGCGCATGCGCCTGGCGGCCATGTTAAGACAAGTTTTTCAGTTCCATAGGTATTATGAATAATCTAGAGAGCTCCGCCCTCTATAATCACCCACTGTTTTGTATATTTCAAATAATGTTATCTAGCTTAACCCATAAGGATCAAATATATACAAATAGGCCGACTCTTATGGTGGCTCAAAGGACAGGTAAAATAATTCAAATGAGTTCATTGTTTTAAATGACACCTCTTCCCATACTACTGGGTAGGTGTTCAACCAAACAATGGGGAAGCATATATGTAGCCCATATGGGATCTGAAGTTTTACAAGTTAACCCTTCACAGGGCTTTAAATGACATCTCCCAAACTTAACTTGGTATATTTTAACCTAGTAATAATATATTGTAATAGGGGGAGTTCCGGAGAGGGTTTGCATCCGTTGTCACCCTGTTAAATCTGTTTCGTGATCGTATAGTTTTTAGCTCGCCTGTTCGAAGAACAAAGAGCTATAGCGTTACCCCTAGCATGAGCGTCGGCGTGAAAATGTTAAAGTTTAATCTGTATGTTATTTAGAAGCTTGTCATTCATTAAATATTAAATTTGTGTACTAGGACGCTGATATTTGGCATAGAGGTTCCTGTGGGGTAAAATATTGATGTAGTGAAGTAAATATTAAAAAATAAATTTTGACCTGTTTTGTACTTCCCTTTTTTGAACAACGTTTAAGTTTTACCTGCAAATTATTTAGAAGCTTGTCATTCACAAAATATGTGTACTAGAATACTGATATTTAGTATGGAGGTTCCTGTGGGGTATAACATTGATGTAGTGAAGAACTTTTTTGAATCACATCAATGTTCAAGTTTTACCTGTTAGTTAGAAGCTTGTCGGTCATTAAATGTATTCACTAGGATGCTGATATTTGGCATGGAGGTTCCTGTGGAGTATGATATTGATTATGTAGTGAAGTTAAAATTAAAAAATAATATTTAACGAATACAAAGCATAGCATAAGTGCCAAACAATGACAACTAATGTTAAGAAATTCAATCGCTACGCACAGTGTATATGTAGAGTACTGGCCTATCCTACCTAACAGAACTACCAGTAGACTACGATCATGTGCTCCTAAGCTAGCTCCCTATAGATCTACAGCGAACCACCATGTATCGATGCCTAAGCCCGAAGCCCCTGACTATCTCTACATACATGTACTGTAGTTCCTATAGCACTCTATATATCATAGGAACGATAGCAGCAGCTCGGCCCATGTTTTGCACTGTTAACAGCGCATGAGGCGGTAAGGTTCTCCTCACCTGAGGAAATGGGTCGGCTCACAGACCCCGTCATGACACGGGTCCCCGCCCGGACCCGCTCTTTTATACCCCCTGCTCCTCTCACCAAATAGCCTCAAAGATGAGTGACAAACTGTTAATCTCTAACCCAGCCTCACCGTCTAAAAGCATGTGAGCGAGGAGCGGGAACCTATTCCTGTTATTACTATCACCTACTTCTGCCGACTCAAAAGTGTAAACACACAGATTTCAGCACCGGTATCGTAGCAGCTCAGATCGCCAGGAATCCTACACTGAACAAAACCCCCTAAATAAGGGTGAATAACACAGAAAGTAACAGAGCCCTGTCTGTAAATCATAAACAGCAATTATACTTAACAAAGTAATACAAATGTGAGAAGTGAACAACCTTACTTCCCACACTATAAATGTAATAACATGCTTAGCTCACAGGGAACCCATGTTATGCTAAACAAGTACTTTCTAAGGAAAATTAAATATTAAATAGCCTTGAAATCTTTATCAATGATAACACCAGTGAGGTTTTAGCACTCTTAACAGGAAAGGGCCATACCAGGTGGGCAACTACCGCCAGGTGTAAAATTGTTCATTGCCATTGGTTCTGAGTGAGTCAGAGTGCAAACCAAGGAGGTCATGTGTGCATGTAGTCTCTCATGACTTTGTAAACTTTATACATTTTTATTATGAAAAGTTCTTTTTACACAACCAATAAAATTTTCAATATGACTTTTCAATGACTAGAAGGATATGTACAGTCACCTTCATCAGACAATTACCAGTGAAGCGTACGCACACAAAAAGGTATAAAATGTGTACAAGTTGTCCACAAAATTGATGTCGATTCGACTACGCTGGTAGCGTATGTACAATAGTTGTTATATATGTACCGAAATGACTCGATTCAGCTACGCTTTGTTTAATACTTAGTCATAGATGTGCGAGTCTTTGAGCCCTGACCCCCCTCGTCTCGATTTAGAACTGGCCCACTGGGCCGCTTGAACAAATTGCTCTCTGTGTGCAAAACTTTGGAGTTATCCCAGTCAATCACATGATTTTTCTGTTTGGCATGGTCTGTGATTGGGGATATATTTATCTTGGACTCAGACTGTTTTCTTTGAGATCTGGTGAATTTCCTATCTTCTTTGGTTTCTGTATCTTTCCGGTGTTCACCAAATCTCTCCATATACGACGCATCACAGTTTTTACATCTGATTTTGTACATGTTCTGCAACGTTTTCTTTAGGTGTTTTATCCTTAGGGTGTACGAGGATATTGCAAAGCATCTTGTGGGGCTTCATGGCTGTTGCTATGCCATGACCGCGATTTATCCTCTGGATGGTTGTAGCAATGACCCTTTATATACGGGATGACCACTTGACCTTTGGTTTTGTTCTTATCCTTGATTGGCCTTTCGCATTCTCGCACATCTATGACCAAGTATTGAACAAAGCGTAGCTGAATGGAGTCATTTCGGTACATATACAATAACTATTGTACACACGCTTACAGCGTAGCCGAAATCGATATTGGTTTTGTGGACAACTCGTACACATTTTACACCTTTGTTTGCATATGCTTCACCGGTCATTTATCTGATGAAGGTGACAGTGTACATATCGTACTAGTCATAGAAACATCACATAGAACATTTTATTGGTTGTGTAAAAAGAAATTTTCAAAATCCATACTTACCAACCTGAAGAAAATGTTTAGAAATATTTTTAATTTTTGCATATAAGACAATTTGTGAACATATTTCAAGGATTCCCATCTGTAACACAAAAATCTCTTGATTTAATTTTTTCGTAAAGTTTAAAAAAAATGTCGGTTGATCATTCATTGAGCAAATTATAATCAATAATAAATACTGTCATATTGAAATGCCTCTTTAATCTATACATATAGCCAATGTGCCAATAAGTTTATTCAGTATTTCAGTCTTTTTACATGAAGAAATGGTATTGTATTAAATTACTGTGAATTTATGTTTTGATATTTGGCTAATTTCAGACTGATCATCCAAGGCAGGGGAGAGGAAGTCGTGAAGCAGATCGTACAGGTCAGTAAGGCTGGACGCGCCTGTAAACAGAACTGCACGGTTTATGCCCTTGCTATTTGTGCCAGGTCAAACGACCCTGACACAAAAAAGGCAGCATACGAAGCACTTTCCACTATTTGTCAGATCCCTACTGACTTATTCGCTTTCATCAAATACTGTGAGGAATTCAGTGCTGGGACAGGTTGGGGCAGGGCACATCGTCGCGCCATCGCAAACTGGTACAACAATTTCAAGGATAACGTCACAACACTTGCCTACAAGGTGACCAAGTTCCGCCGACGTCATAACTGGGAACACAAAGATGCTATTCGTCTAGCACACGTTAATCCTGAATCGGAATCTATCCGACTGATCATCAAGTACCTTGTCGCAGGACTAGGTGAGGCCAAAAAGCTACAAATGCCAATTAATGCAGATGAGATGGAAACCTGGCAGAAGGTGTATGTTTATCTTGAAGCAGTAGAGAAGGCTCTACAATGTACGGAGGAATCTGATGTTGTGGAGTTGATAAAGAAACATGGTCTGGTGCGGGAACATGTGCCTACACCCTTACTCAAGTCAGTACCAGTGTGGCAAGCATTACTAAAGGATATGCCCATGAATGCAACTATCCGCAACCTTGGCAAAATGGGAAGTCTTCAGATGATAGAGGAGGGGTCTGAAGAGGAGAGAATAATAGTCGAAAGACTTCAAAATCAAGCAATCCTCAAGAAATCCAGGATCCATCCTTTCAAGATCTTGGTTGCATTGAAGGTTTACGGCAAAGGTGTAAGTGAAAAGGGAAAGCTTACTTGGCCTCGTAACAAGAATGTCGTTGCAGCTCTGGAAAAAGCTTACTACATGTCTTTTGATAATGTGGAGCCAACCAAGAAGAGGTACTGTCTGGCAGTAGATGTCAGTGGATCAATGGATACTCCGATGATGGGTATAGAGTCGATGACGGCCCGGGAAGGAGCTGCTGCTATGATGATGGTCACTGCCAGGACAGAACCCGACTACAAGGTTTACGCCTTCTGTCACAAGCTTGAGAAGCTACGTATTCAGAAGGAGGACAAACTGAAGAATGTATACGACAAGATGTCTTCCCTGAGTTTTGGATCCACCAATTGCTCCTTACCTATCATACAGGCCCTTGAGGACAAGGAGAAGTTTGATGTGTTCATAGTGTACACAGATTCGGAGACCCACTACAGCGCAATACATCCCAGTCAAGCATTGCAACAGTATCGAACCAAAACCGGAATAAAGGATGCTCGGATGATTGTTGTTGGTATGGCCAGTACTGGATTCACCATTGCCGACCCTGTAGACAGATTCATGATGGATGTTGTGGGATTTGACTCCAATGCTCCGGAGGCCATGAGGAGTTTTGTGGAGGGACAGTTTTAGCTTGTATAATGTAAATGTTATCACATTTTCGAAAGTGAATTTAGGACTTCGGAAGGATAAAATAGTTATAATTAGAGGAAGTTTGGTATTGTAACAATATAAAGTCAGATAATTAGAGGAAGTTTGGTATTGTCACAATATAAAGTCAGTCTCATGAAAACTGGTGTGTATATTCAAAACAAGTTGAACTGTTTTATTTTTATGCTCAAAGAAAAATAGTGTAATATGTATATTTAAAATAGGTGGCTTTGCTGCAGGCTACTCTTACTTGAGGTCTTCATATATTAGATGTTGGAGTAAAATGTTCATCACTTCTTAATGATTTTAACATACTTTTATTGGCTGTAAAGCAATGTTAAAGATGTAGTATAATCATCTGTGATCTAAAACATCATTTTTATACATATTTATTCGTCGCGTATTCAAAACTGTTTCCACCTAAAGCTTTAGCCTTATCGTGCAAAAACATCAACATCATAGAAGTTACTGGTGACACTGAATGAGCATGATTTATCTGGTATAGTTTGTGTACATATGTCAATGTAATTTGTTTGTTTTGAGAGTAAGTAATGTACAACGAGGACAGTTTTATTCAATTTGTAGTTCACTATAGTTGAAGCTTACTTTTTTTGTGAGGTAGTTGCAGCATAAGGGTAATGATGGAGGTTTAAGATGAGGTGAATGAATCCCAAATGAGACAATTGGGATACTACATTATTTTATTGAGACAGTGGGTAATTTGGACTTCAGGTATACTCCGACTTCCAGATTAAACATCTTGAATCTTCTGCTGTGATCTGTTGAAAATCTATTTTAAATATATGTCTCTTTTATCAACATGATGATGAATTAATTGCAATTGTAGAAATTGACTTACCAGGTTGGTATTATGTTGGTACCAAGACTTTAGATGACCAGACCTAGGGTTGACCAGGCCCAGAGGGTTGACTTGACCCAGAGGGTTGATCAGATCCAGAGGGTTGACCAGACTGAGGGTTGACTAGACCCAGAGGGTTGATCAGACCCAGTGTTATATACACATACATGTATATAAGCAGCATTGTTATACTCTAAATGTACATGTACAATGTATACATATCTATGCTTATGATAAAATCATATTTTAATAAAAATTACAAAAAAATCAAAAGCAGTCTATTAGTTTGACTTTTACCTGTCGTCTACTGCAAATCACACTTGACGTCCAATTAGTTATTTAATTGTGAGAGAACTGTCCTATTTAATTGTGAGAGTACTGTCCTATTTAATTGTGAGAGAACTGTCCTATTTAATTGTGAGAGAACTGTCCTATCACACTTGACATCCAATTAGTTATTTAATTGTGAGAGTACTGTCCTATTTAATTGTGAGAGTACTGTCCTATCACACTTGACCTCAAAATAGTTATTTAATTGTGAGAGAACTGTCCTACTTAATTGTAAGAGTACTGTCCTATTTAATTGTGAGAGAACTGTCCTATTTAATTGTGAGAGAACTGTCCTATCAAACTTGACATCCAATTAGTTATTTAATTGTGAGAGTACTTTATCAAACTGTCTTGGCCTACTGTAACCTGACCAGGTGTACCCCAGGACAGGGTGACTTAATGGTGAGAGGTGATTGTACGCCTATGGGTTAGATTTTTGTTTAGGTATGAATATTGAAGCTGTATCCATCAAGTCTATCACTCCAACTCTAATTTCCTAAGATGACAACCTAACACAGCTTGAAACTTATTATTTTTGGACCCCCAGCGAAGCCAACTCATTTCACTCAAAGGAAATGAACACCAAGACCTAGTTAAATCAAGTAAATGAATATCTAGACATCTGTAATTTGCCCATTACTTCTAAACTGCAAAATCTAAAGTAAAAAAGACTGCTGCAACTATCATCTCATACGATGTACTATCATTTTAGCCCAATGTCAGCAGATCGCGAACTGTTCTTGTAGCCCTTCATCCCTATAGTCTGTCCGTCCTTATACAATTCTTCTTAATGCCATTTCTCAAAAGTACTAGAGGGTGGCCATCTTGAATTTTGCGGGTTTATTAGTTGTCTTTCTTCACAAGTGCTTCAGGGATATTAATCAAAGGATGAGTGTCTACAAGGCCCTTTTTTGGGCCCCGGTATATTCGGATTTTCACCTCCTTATTTTGTTCAAAGATGTCCTATTGTATGACATGTAGAAAAACTAAGGTAAAACTTTGACCGAAAGTGGGTTTCTGGGAGTACCAAAAGGGGTAGGTTAAATCATAAATATAGTTTGCTGTTTTCAAATTGAGCTTAAAAACCAAAATAATACCATTTCTGTTTTTGAAAACATGTATAAGTTAGACAAGCATTTGTAACAGAATGAAAAATGACACAAATTCAATCGTCACTTAAAGATTGTTTATATAAAACGAAGGATTAAGTCAGGGGGGTCTTTTCGGTCATTTTCAATTGAAAAATAATTTGTTTTCTGAATAATTTCCTTTCTGATAATATTTTGACTTGAAATTTACAACTTCACTCATTTAAGTAGACTTTCATCAATTGCATATCGACTACATATCGAGTTATAACTTCTGGACACATCTCAAACTTGGCTATTTCAAATATCTCTCAATTTTAAGTGAATAAAAAGGTACATGACACCCTTAATATGCTATAAGTATAAGATATCAATTGTTAGTATTGTATATTATATATATCATTTATTATTTGCTCAACACCTGTGGCTGAAGTGAGTTCCAGGTCATAATTGCTTTAAGCAAACGATCATCTGATGGTGGGCTATTCAAATCACCCTGCGTCCGTGGTCCATCCTTAAACAATTCTTGTTATCAGTTTTTCTCAAGAAGTTCCAGTAGGGTTCTTTCTTAAATTTTATATGTAGGTTCCCCTTGGTCCTTAGCTGTGCAGGGCAACTTTTGAGACTGATCGGATAAACAACATGGTCGACAGGCAGCCATCTTTGAGTTTGATAGTGAAAGTTTGTTATCACTATTTCTCGGCAAGTACGGAAGGGATCTTTTACAAATTTTATATATAGGTTCCCCTTGGTCCCTAGCTGTGCAAAGCAACTTTTGAGACTGATCGGATAAACAACATGGCCGACAGGCAGCCATCTTCGATTTTGATAATGAAGGTTTATTTCCGCTATTTCTCGGGAAGTACCAGAGGGATCTTTCTTAAATTTTATATGTAGGTTCCCCTTGGTCCTATAGGGCAAGGCAATTTTTGAGACTGATCGGATAAACAACATGGCCGACAGGCAGCCATCTTCGATTTTGATAGTGAAAGTTTGTTATCACTATTTCTCGGGTAGTACCAGAGGGATCTTTCTTAAATTTTATATGTAGGTTCCCCTTGGCCCTATAGGGCAAGGCAATTTTTGAGACTGATCGGATAAACAACATGGACGACAGGCAGCCATCTTCGATTTTGATAGTGAAAGTTTGTTATCACTATTTCTCGGGTAGTACCAGAGGGATCTTTCTTAAACTTTATATGTAGGTTCCCCTTCGTCCTATAGGGCAAGGCAATTTTTGAGACTGATCGGATAAACAACATGGCCGACAGGCAGCCATCTGCGATTTTGATAATGAAGGTTTGTTACCGCTATTTCTCGGGAAGAACCAGTAGGGTTCTTTCTTAAATTTTATATGTAGGTTTCCCTTGGTCCTAAGCTGTTCAGGGCAATTTTTGAGACTGATCGAATAAACAACATGGCCGACAGGCAGCCATTTTCGATTTTGATAATGAAGGTTTGTTACCGCTATTTCTCGGGAAGTACCAGAGGGATCTTTCTTAAATTTTATATATAGGTTTCCCTTGATCCTAAGCTGTGCAGGGCAACTTTTGAGACTGATCGGATAAACAACATGGCCGACAGGCAGCCATCTTGGATTTTGATAGTGAAAGTTTGTTATCGCTATTTCTCGGGAAGTACGGGAGGGATCTTTCTCAAATTTTATATATAGGTTCCCCTTGTTCCCTTGTTGTGTACTTAACTCACTTTGCAGTGCCTGAAATGGACGGTCTCCTGCTCGCCAATGGAGATTAAAGTCTTCCTCGGGCGACCAAAATTTGTCAAAAGTGAGGGATCTCTTGTTTACTTATCAAAGTTAACTTAAAAATCAAAAATGGCATTTGTCACCACAACTACTGTAAAATGATTGATTTAATATATGAAGTTTGATTTGCTGGTAATTTTAAGTCTCCTAGCCTCAGGGAAAGTATCTGCTTTAATCTTTAAAGTTAACCGATTTCATTGTTTTATCAAATGTTCTGCCTATTTCCAATGTTTATCCGCTGATTGTACATAAAAGGCATTTAGGGATAAGCATGTAACTTGGCATATATATCAGTGATATGATGATATTTAATATGTGAAACTTGCATACTTATCCCACAATGCCTTTTTACTTAAAAACACCTTTTCCTGTGATTTGGAGTACAATGACCAAAGTGCATCTCCTTGCTTAACACCGAGTATTTCCTGACAATACTAGGTTATATGAATGTATGTAGATTAAACAGATTCAGTAGAGTGTTTATAGTAGTAAGAGGGGCGTTTGACATGCTACACTGACCAAAAGTCAGATAGTTTATGCTTTGAAAACGCAAAGAGAGACTAAGTTGTTCATTCAAGTTAATGTTTGCAATTAACAGTTAATCCTTTTGTTGATTTCCTACGGTTTATTTGTTACATTCAATGCTAGCTGGTACTCATATTATTTCCTAATTACTTTTCTTCCCTTTTTGTTACATTACGTTAACCATGCCATCGGTGTATGTTGTAAAAAGAGGCACACTACCAACATTCCAAAAATATATGATGAACAACTTTTGACCTATCTGAAAGAAAAAGTGTCATATGTGCTTATTAAAAACTAGTTACTGTGTGCAATGTATGCAGAAAACCCTTTTATGGAAAACCAAAATGTCTGACTCTTGAATTTGAGAATAATCGTTTGTTAGCTACACTACACGAAGTGCAAGTGAGCTTATGTCATGGTGCAGCATCTGTCCGTCCGTCAATCAACTTTTCCTTTAAAACGGTACAAGTCCTAAACAGCTTGGTGGATTTAAACAAAAAATGGACTGGAGTATACTCGGCTAAGGGGATTCAATTTTGTATAAACAGGGTGTGTGGCCAAATTTACCAAATTTTGTCTAAAACATTCATGAGCAAGATGAATTCAGTTTTGTATTAATGAAGGGGGAGGCTCCCCTGGGGTAGAGGGGCGGGGCACATTAGGGAAATCATAAGGGGAAATGTTCAAAATCCTTTTCCTACTGTAAGAATAGAGGGATTTAAACCAAATTTTAGTTGTAAAGCATCCTTAGACAAGAGGGACTCAATTTTGTATGAATAGAAGGTATCTTGAAATGGTTGAGATCCCCACCCAATAACCAAATGTACCTTTGATAGGCATACAGAGATTAATACAGTCATATTGACCCTTGGTACTGGTTTCACCCCTAGGGACTTAATTATTGGGTAATTACTTTGAAACAGTCAGATCTCCATCCCATAACTATTCAAACACAATTCTGATGTTAGTATTGTTTCATGTGGAGCCCTAGTGACTTAATTTCTGGAACTCTGGAATGTTTGGGATCCTGAGCCTATAACCATACCATTACAGGGCATCCAGATCCAGGTGAGCGATAAGGCACTCTTATTAGCGCCCTTTCTGAAAAAGTACAGCAGGGATCTTTCTCAAATTTCACATGAAAGTTTGCTATTGTCTGTGATTATGCCTATCAAGTTTCGGGACAAATCAGAAAAATCAAGATGGATGACAGTTGGCTATCTTTAATTTTAGAGTTAAACTTTGTTAGGGCTATTTCTGAGAAAGTACTTAAGTTATGCATATCTAATTTTGCACTGATCTGAAAACCAAAAGGGTTAGCTGGCGGCCATTTTGTATTTGCCGAGTTAAAGCTTGTTAGTGCTATTTCACAGGAAGTCCTGAAGTTATGTTTCACATGCAGTTCTCAATGGCCCATGGGTATGCATTTTCAATTTTGGGACTGACCGGAATTTTGAGAGAGTTTATTAGCACTATTTCTTAGAGAGTATTGGAATGATATTTCCTCAATTTCTCGTTTAAGTTCCCCATGGGTCATTGTTTGTATACCAAATCTAGGGACCGATCGGAAAACTAGGATGGCAGACAGGCAGCCATATTGCGTTTTGAGAGTAAAAGTTTGTTAGCACTATTGCTCAGAAAGAACATAGGGATCTTTCTCAAACATCTCATATAGGTTCCCCGTGGTCTTTAGATCAATTTTGGGACTGATCAGAAAGCTGCAATGGCTGACAGACGGTAATCTTAAATTTTGGGAATAAATATATGTTAGCGCTATTTCTTAGAAAGTCCTGGAGGGGTCATTTTCGAATTTCACTCTTTGATTTCCAATTACCCTTATTCGTGCATATTGATTTTAAGGCCAGGCAGCCATTTTTAATTTTGAGAATTTGAAGCATGTGTCTGGAGGCTTTCAGTACTTTGATTCATTTTGATTTAAACATTGTTCTCAACTTTATCTCCAGAAGTATTGAACAGATCTTCAAGTTTCATACGTTAATTTTCATATATTGATTTACATAGGCCTTAAGTTGTATATGTTTCATTTTGAGGCTAATCAGAAAAACCAAATGGTCGCCAAACAACCAACGTTGCTTTCGACAGTTGCAGATTGTTATCGCTATTTCCCAATGAGCACCAGGCAGATCTTTCTCAAAGTTTCAAATTTAGATTATCCTAACTACATATTAAATACTGCGCTTGTAAGTAGGTCAAACGACAACCTCTCTTGCAAGAACAATGCCATCCACAGCAGTTAAAGTTTTATCAAAAGTTACCACAAGTTACAGTTACTATTTACATTATCCAATCCAACAGATAAAAGAAAATATCAATCTTATGGCGATGGTACGATAGTGGGCGCCAAGATCCCCAAACATCTGGGTTTTTTTCTTAATCTTACACTTGAGCCAACTCTGTACAGAGGGCTCAGATAGGCCGCTGGTCCTATACCGAAGGCTCATAGAGTTCGCTGGTCCGTCATTTTACATCTCTTGTTTTTTCTATCTTACACTTGAGCCAACTCTGTACAGAGGGCTCAATGAGGCCGCTGGTCCTGTACCGAGGGCCCAAAGAGGCCACTTGTCCTATACCGAGGGCTCCGAGAGTCCGCGGGTCCGTCATTTTATCTAAAACAACCAAATACTACCTGTAACAAAATGTTAATGTCCATTTAACTATTTTTGTGTCTTCTGCTTGAAGGACATTGGGAACTCTAATTCATCAGCTCCTCCATTGTAAAATTTGGGAATGGTATCTCTTTTTTCTCTCTTTTCTACCTTTTCTGTTCGTTCTGCGGTACCCGTCTTCATATGATCCTTGCTGATGCGATGACATGAACAATCAAACAAATAAAAAAACAAATGTTGAATCACCATTTATTCATACTTGCTCTTATGTAATGTGTAATACTCTAATAAATCAATTTGATGAAAAAAACACATTCAATTTTGCATTTGTTGCTGTTCACAGTTTACTGCTTAATTTAAAGATAATTGCACCTTTCAGAGACAGTCACATGACTTATAGCCTAGATACCAGGACAGATATACTTCATTGCTTACACCTATATGGTGTGACTAAGTTGTGTGGACCACGGACGGTATTTCAGTTATCAGGGTCACACATTTAAGGAACCGTCTTCGCCTGTGAACATTTAAAAAAGTATTAACACTTTTTTCCAAGTAAATGCCACGAAATATTAACCAATGTGAAACACTAGCATGTGCTTTACTTGTCGATCGGTCTCGGTCATTGTTTATTTCTGATAATGAATATAAATGCTAGCACGACTTTGCCCCAATACGAGGATTATCAATTTGACTATGTTATTGCTACACAAGGATGACGTCTCAAATGTAATTATAACAGTGAACACTCGGATAACGATATAAAACATAACATGACCAACCTAACGTGTTTACACGTTTCAGTTGATCCAAATATAATTGTGTTCGTGATAGATATCGACTCATTACAATCATGTGATCTATAGCTGCCATGAACAACAATCAATCAATCAAAAGTTTATTTCAGTGTCATGCATCATTTACATAATAACTTATCACAGTTTAGATAATGGCATTTAAAACATACGTTAAAATGTGATGTCAAGCCGAACTCGGCTTTTGAGACACTATTAGAATAAACGTTACATTATGTACATCATACATCATCATTCCATAAATAAGACAATTAAACTTCACAATAAACCAAATGAGATAAAATTCAATAACTCCTTTTACTCTATAATACTCTATGTTCAATAAAATACATATATAATTTATTTCATTGGTCTTAAACGATCATTGCACATCTTTATCCGATAAAAGTGGGTGTCTGTATTTTACCTTAATTAAGATAAGCATTTACTTCACAATAGATCCAATGAATTAAAACTGATAGTTCATAGCAAGTTATAATTCTCTATGAACAATAATCATAACATATGAAATATTTCAATTGTCATAAAAATATCAATGGTGACATATGTTTAGGATATACCAATCAACATTTGAGTACGTGACGTAATACCCAGGAATGCTATCGAAACGTTGAAGAGTAACGTATTGATATCACACAGTAAATCTGACGATGTCTGAAACATGTCTTTTTTGCTGCAATTATTAATTTCATCAATGTCTCTTTGTCTGTTTATAAATATGTCTAAGTAATGCTAGTAGTACACATCTATTTAAGGCATACAAATTAATGCATGAAAACTCTGCCGTTTGTTTTTTAAAAATGTGTTTTTGTTTTTCACTCATTCACCCCTGAAGACATATTTTAACCTTTCCGATTCAAAGGTTCCAATAGTTCAGTATAAAATTTCATGGATGAATGAGTTAATGCATATCGGCTTTGCATACTAATTTTCTCTATATTCATACTCATATTAAGTTGCTGACCGTTTATGGTAATCAGAACTCATTGAAATATTTCCGGGAAATTCATTCTGCAACTTTATAATCAGGATGAGCGGGGATCAATCACGTGGTCAAACGATGCGGAACAAAATGGAAACCCTTCACGGTGGGAAATGCTTTAGTCTGGGGTTAGACACACGAGACAATAGTTATACACTTACATTCGCATTGAATTTGACATATCTACAACTGTAACTTAAATCACCATTGAAAAGGGTAGATACAAAATACATATCCCTAAATTAGGAGCGACCAAGACTTATTTACAGTTTATTATTCAACTATAAACCTAAATCAATATTCAAGGGCATCGACAATTTACAACTTAAAAATTACATTAGTGTTGTCATAACATAGATACAATATGTATTAATATGCAACTATACATTTACATTGACAAGGGAAAGATAACTGGGACATGACTCATAATATCAAGCTTATATGTGGATAGATAAAAGATACCAGAGATAATCTATAGCATTACACATCAATTAAAATGATCTCTCTCCGTGAATTTTCAAATTAGATCACACAAATATCATATTACTCTTTAACACATTTAAGTCATACATTATTTGATGAATTAAATTGCGTGCATAAAGCGAGACACTATGTGGTTTGATGAAAATGGTATTTACGTTTTGAGTCTTTATATTTACTGTTTGTATATGTAATATTTACCTTAAATGTTTTCTTGGAGTGACTTTACAAGATCGTAAATGTTCATGTCGCATTCCTTCATTGCAAGCAGGAGTTTGTGTACAGTTGCAGCACGGCCTTCATCTTTGATCCAGCGCTTTATTAAAGTGGTAATCTGTTCCCTTACATCTCTAACGCTGACCTCTTCCGTTTCTATGGTGTTAACCTTCAAATTCAGCTCCAGAAAGAGGATAAAGGATACCTTTGGCGATATATAATCTATGAGAATGGACACGTTGTTGACAGATAATGCTCTTTGTAAAAGTGTCTCTGGAAAATCCATGTCTAAAATCACAGAAATGTTTGAATAATCGTTACTGCTGTAATCATCTTTGTTCTCACATCGCTTTAACCTAATAACAAGTCTGCGATATGATATCAGCAATCAATCTCTTATTAGAATGATAATAAAAATAAACGTAAGTTTGTTTTTATCGCATACAGTAAATGCAAATGATTTGCGAGCTTTCGAAAACGTCTGTTTCCTTAGTCAAGCAAATGGTCAAATGACCGGTTCCCGGCGAAACGTCTCAAAAGTTGGCACATTGTGGTATAGTAACTGTTGTCAGCGGTTAATAGTCGAGACACCGATCGTTTGCGCTCTTTGCTTGACAAAGAAAACAGACGTTTTCGAAAGCTCTCAAAATAATTTTCATTTTCTGTTCATTACCAACTTATTGATTATTCGTACCAAACTGATAAATCTCATTCCAAATTTGAAAATGATAAGCTGTTGTTTGAGCTTTGACTTTGATCACGGTATCACTAACAAATTGATATGGATATACAATACATCAAAAATAAATAAATAAATAAACATAAGTACTCCGTCTTGCTGATTGGTTTTCCTGTTAGTTTAGTATAGTTTTTTTTATGTCGAAATACCTATCACTGGTTTCTCCTGAGGAAACCTCGTCATTCCGCAATAATTACTGATCCATCAAACGTTTGACTTTTAAATAGGTGTGACAATATTAAGACAGATGCGTAACTTTATGGTATTAACCATCACGGTATGCTGAGAAATGGTTTCCGAAAATGAAAATTACCTGTATACTGGTAATTCCGGTTACTGTCAAGAACAGTCTGTAACTGTTTCACATCTATGTCTTCTTCTTTCATAGCAAATGCGATCTGTGGGAATCCGATATTTGGCCTGGAGTTGATCATATCAACGAGGATTTTGGTGATAGGGACTCGACAGGAAAAACCCTGGTAATCATGAAAGAAGCGTTCTACCGATGCAATCGGGCATTTAAGCTGCATGAAGAAGGATTGATAATCCTTCCCTATAAACTTGCTGATTCTTGCCATTTCCTTCGGTGATGGACTTCTATCAGGAACATGGACAGACAGTGCATCGACTAGAAATAAAATATACTTTTCATTGTAAACTGAGTTTTTTATCACACGATATTCTAACTTGATAAACTTCAATATTTGGATGTCTTTTTTTAAAATGATGTAATGATCTTACCTGCTCCAACACTGCATTGTACCTGAAAATAACAAATATGAATGATTAATACATGTAAATCCATATATCTATTTGACTTATAAATTGTACGTATGTTTTACACCGATGGACAACCGATTCATGATCTAACCCGAGTGTAGAAATGACATTCAAAGTTTCTTTCATAATGTTAACTTCTCCATGCATGGCTCAATGGTTAAATATTATACACTAAATTCTTGCTTTTTGTGCAATTTTGTAACACTGATTCACTGATGACACTTGGAGTAGAATATGTTTAGTGTAGAACTTACAAATATGGTGTGTATATTAGAACAAATATCTGCATTCCTTAATTGGTTGAAATTGAAATATTTGTAGGGCAGTTATTGGACGAAAATAAATCTACCAATCAGACTCAAGTAGCAATGATAAACTGATAGAACCAATTTTGGCCACATTAGACATTTATTGAACGGAAACTAAAGCATGGCAGATAGAAGGACGGACACATTCAATGTGTAACCTCTATTTTCTCCAAAGAGCATGAAAAAATGAGGTTAACCTTGTTTTGGGAATGAAAATTTGAAACACACCAACAAGAAAATTCTACAGTTTTCGCTTTTAAGGATCCCAGCAACACGGTTAAAACTGTAACTATGCATTTGAACCTATCTTCTTGCATGACTATACATTTGATAAACTATTTCTGAAAAGAAAACTCAACTTTGCATCTTTTTATGAAAAGGATGTAAAGATACACGGTTTTATGAGTGTACCAATGCAATGGGGCAAGAGCAGGATTAGAGCCCAGAACCTCTCGATCATTATACTGTCGCTCAAACACACAAAGCTACCTGGTCAACAATAGCATATGGACCCAGCCGTGCTACAGTTATATCCAAAATAAAATAGAGTGAACGTCGATGTAAAAGCGAAAACCTACAGAGTTCTCTATGGTTTTGTCTGCAGTAGAATTGGTATCCTTACAAAGACGTATGTAGTGTTTACCTGTGTGTTGTCCTCGAACCAGATACCATAGTCTTTTTGACTTAGGAAGCTTTCTCCGTTTCCACCCTGACATGGCAGTTGGTCTAGCTCTGCAAGATCTTCTGCTTTTACCATTATTTCATTTTTTGAAAACTGGTAGTCGTTGTGCAGGTAGTAGTTGTACCGGAAATGACCTTGGTGGTTCATTTCAAGTACCCTTGGAAGCCAAAAGTCTAAGAATTTTCGAAATTCCACACCTTTTCCTGATGGAATGCGAGATCCACTTCTTGCAAACAAAAGTACTTTCATAGCATTTTTGTGACAGTTCAAGACAACCTTCCACAAATTATTTTCTGACAAACATACAAATCCTCGTTGTATCAATTCTGATTGTTCATATCCAGGTTCTGTCATCGGCCTAAATCTGTGCAAACATTTCGCAATAGTTTTGTCCCATATTGCCTGCGGAATGAAATCGTTATCAAACTTGATACAAAGGACAGGTGTCTTGATGGTGAATGGCTTATCCAAGATGGTTTGAATCCGACTCGGAACCGCTTCTTTCATCATACAAGGAACGATATATTCCTCTAATTCTTCGTTGGTGTCTAGTAGTGGACTTGAAATGAGACCGAGGGTTTCCATTACAATGCAGATGAATTTGAATTTCTCAATGAACTGTTGTCCAGTTTCCTTTTTCATCAAAGACTGCATGAAGCCCACTGGAAGTTCGCCGGATTCTTCATATGCTTGCCATTCTTCTTTTTCTTTAATAGAGAGGTTTGTTTTATATTTTGGACTTGTAATGATGCACTTGAAGGCCGATATGATCCACTGAGGATCAAGAATGATGAAGCAACTGTTTTCCCTTCCTCGCGTCTTTTTGCTTTCGAGGCTTTCTTCCCATTCATCCAGGCCAAAGCAAAGGAAATATCCTGTAGTTTTCAGGTATCTGCAATGCCAAATTATATCATATAAATAGTATGTTGTACATACTAAATGTTACAATTTGCACATACCTATTTTTGCACATGGTCTACTGACATTTGTACTTATTTTCGTCGTTTAAAACAACACACCTGTTAACATTATTTGTTTGAGTATATTATAAAGATAAAAAAAACAACCTAAGGTATTGTGTTTTTAAAGCTTATGGCAAGGATGGATGCAAATATAAGAATTTCTATCCATCATTTTACCTCACAAATGTGTTGATTTCTTCTGCATCTTGTAATGGAACCGCTAACGTTTTGTTCAATAGTTTAAGATCTTTAAATTCCAGCACTTTATAGCCTGCTATTTTCTTTTTGACAAGTTCCTGTTCTAGGGCTAACCATCTTGCTGGGATTTCTTTAAGCCATTGGGACTGGCACTCTGCTGCGTCAATGATTGCTCTCCAGATTTTGTCGTACAATTCTCGGTTTTTGGAAGAATCGTTGAGATTTGAAACATAAAACATGTCTTTGACATGTTTCTGTATGACAGTCTTGATTTCTGGATTGGAAGACAATCGAGTCAGGATACCTCTGAATATGTCTTCTTTCTCATCTTCCTAAATGAACAATAACACGGAATAAGACAATAAATAACAGTTTGTTTTGGCTAACGTCCTCAAAACAACAAAGGTTATATGGCGAAGGATACATAGGAAGACAATGACAAAACGATAGTGTACGGAAGTGGGAAAAAAGCATAAACCGAAAAAGGAAGGAAGACTTTACTATGGAAGTTTTGAGCATATTTGTTACACAACATTAACAATCAATTTAGTATCTACTGAATGTAAAAAATGGTATTACTTACGCTGCCAGGAACTAGATCCATATGAGAGCCTATCAGAATTATTGGTGGCGTGCCTCTCTTCTTTAAAGCTTCATCAATAGCACTGGTAGCTATGGACCTTAGCCAGAACTCTATTCTGTCTATAAACGTAGACACAATGGACATGTTTTACAGATTGAAACTTCTATATGGGGTAAGGGATGTACCAGATGATGCGGACAAAATAAATGCGGTAGATGTACCATTGCATTAGAACATTAGTTAAACATTACACTTAATCTGAATCATAACAAAAATCATGGTTGGTATATTGGAATGAAAAACATGAAAAGTTTCCTTTTTTGGACACTAAAATTATGTCCTTTGCAGAATGTATATGATAGGGCTATCATTATTACGTCATGATTTTCTCTCTTAATGAAAATAAATCCATATTTTATTTAATACATTATAAGAGAATAATCTCAAAGTTTAATTTGTAATTAAATCGGCAACGCTATTCTCTGCAATATCAAGCTTGTTTAATAATAGTATCATCACCACTATATATGCTATATGGTTCAGGTGTTAAAAAAGAATTTCGAAGTTGGTAATTTGTTACCGTCTGTACGTATTTATATTTGTTACATACATTTTATGTTATAAATAACATACAAAATCGTAATGTATTTCATGTTGCAGTGTACAAATAGAAATGTGAAATTGTTCGGAGATATATCTCTTACTTCTTCTTTCATCAATATCAACTCGACTCAATAACCAAACATCTATCAATCAAATATCGCTTATTGGCAACATTTATTCACTAATTCGTTTATTGTTTGATATATAAGGTAAGATAATAATCCATTTCCTCGTACTCTATAATTTACCTTTTACTGGTCAAATGTATCGTACAATCAAAACCCTACATTTTCCAAAGTCTCCAAAGACAAAATGATTAGTAACCCGGATATTACTAAGTATGCCTAAAACTTTCAGCTTTAAGGGTTATGGTCAACTCAAGTCCACATCGCATACTGTGTAATCTCAATACCTACCATATCCGGCTTCTTTTCTCTCTTCATTCTGATCAAGACATATGGACACATCAAAGACTAAAATGAAGATCATGTCGTTCGTGAGGATACAATGATGGGTGTTGTAGAATATTTTTTCTCCTCCAAAGTCATAAATCGTCACCAGTCCTTTTGTTTTAGTATCGGTTTGCACCACTGTTTCCAAGACAGCCTTTGTAGCCTCGTGTTGGTCATCAGACGTGATTCGAGCAGCATCTAACATGTAATTGGACGTCACAACAAGCATTAAACGTCATACAAGTAAAGTGCATCAATAACTCATCATGGTTTTTCCAACTTATATTTACATTTTCACCCGTACCATTCCTTATCAGTGGATGTTTCTTTGTTATATTATTATTAAATTATGCTCGCTATCTCGTTTTTATGTAATATATAACATTATGCCTGCTTTTCCTTTGATGTGTATTTATACCATGGTGACTATCCCTCTGCTATATATAGGCATTTATCGTAAATTTATCCTTCTGTTAAACATTGTGGTTGATTTTCTTTGTTATATATCTATAAAGATTATAATGGGTATCCCATTATATAATATATAAAAATTATGCTGGGTATTCCATTATATAATATATAAACATTATGCTGGGTTTCCAATTGTGATATATAAACATTATAATGGATATCTCTAATATACATGTACATTCATATCACTGATACTTACATTTTACTCGAACTATTTTTTCCAGCTCATGTGTCGGTGGGTGACTATAGTATTGAAAAACAATGCAAGATATTTTTATTTTATTTTTTTATCAAACATGAAGCTTTTCCGCTCATGGATTATTATGTATCGATCATTTGCATATTCATCTAAGCATTAATGAATTAATTAATGGAATGCTGATTTTGAAGAATGTTTTTTTTTATAGAGATTAGAATATACTTTTAAATGTCTTGTATTAACAGCCGTTGCTTTATACATATTAACCATGAAAAGCGTGAATATTCCATTTCCCTTAATTGCTGATGTGCTTTGGAGGAACTGCAGTGTGCGTAGACAGAGAAATATCAACCCTTGGGATAAGATGTTGGAAGTTTACCACTCGGCTTGTCCAAAGGGTGAGATTCACACATGACTTATTGATTATTTTTCTCCAACACTTTCCTACATTTTACCATTAAAACTGTTGTAGTCATCATCAATTGTGCATGAAATGTGACAAAAAAAGATTAAATTAGCCTGGTTACACTGTATAAAGCACGTGTGAGTGTGGATCCCGATCGGACGTGAAAAGGTATTGGGTCACTTGTCCGACCACGCGGGGTTTCTCCGAGTACTCCAGTTTCCTCCCAAAATAAGACCCCCCGGGCGCTAACATCCGGGCCAAGACGAGTCATTAATATAGATTGAAATAACTTGTTTCATAATTGTTCTAAAATAAATAAAGTGTATATATTAAGTACGTATGATCTGTCTGGCAATAGGTAGGTTAAGACATATTTGTCATTTCCCTAGCAAAAGCAGGAATGTACCGGGGAAGTGTTGGAAACAAAATCTTTTTAAATGTTCTATCTTCATACTTTTACTTGATCAATGACTGATAATGATAACTTACTTGAATCGGTCTTTGGTGTAACATCCTAGACAAACATACACGTCCTTACATGTTTTGCATTTGAAAAGTGTGTCCAAACACGAACATTCACAACCTCTGCATTTGTACTTATGACCAGTATGTCTGAAAAACAAGGATATCGCATTTTTAGGTGTCTCATGAAACTTCCGTTTTGCTAGGTTGACCTTGTTTTCTTAACTATTGTCCCTATATGAACTACCAAAAGTAGGTACTCCTTTGAAAAAAAGGTCAAAACATTCATCCTTCTTTCAAAGATGAGTTTAAATATCTTTTAATGTATACAGGTCGTTACTTTATGAAGGTTGCTAAATGACCAACTCAGTGTTGCAGCGTCGGCCTATGTCCGTTTATTTAACGCGCATCATGGAATATGTTTGAATGGTTTTGTGTTGCATACATGTACCCTCATAAATGTTAAAAAGATGTATTTCAAACCTTATCTTTACGTTCTATTACAATCACTTTTATTATTTGAAATTAAGAAAAATAAAATGTTTTACAGTAAAAAGCAATACACCGTCCTGAAAACATTAATTGAACAGCTTTTTTCGCGAGCAAGGTGATGCGTTTTCAATGGTGACGAAATACACAGTTGAGCAATAAACAAGTAGTTCCACTTTGCATATTTTTAATCATTTAATTTACATACCAGCATGTTTAACAAGCATTCATTATCTTTAAAATTGGCAGTATATCTTAAATTGAGAAGCAAAAATGTTTAAGTTACAAAAGTCAGAGATTTATTTCGTGTTCGCTAAAGGTACCTGACCGATAAACAATGGATGTGCTTAGCTCATCAGGCCACGAGGCGGTTGAACTGTCAACGAGATGGGTTAATGGGAATTTAAAGTGCATCCATGAAGTGTGGAGTTTACGAAGAAACCAGATGACGATTTAAAAGTGCTGTTTACTGAATTCTTGTGTCGACCGACTGTGTTAACAGGACTAGCTCATTTTTTGAGCATTTGGTATGTGTTACTGTCGCTGTGGAGACTGACCAGGATGACTTGACCAGCTTCGCCATTTGGGACGGACACTACTGTAGTGTAGAGAACAGCGATTTCTTTCTGTTCTGTTGAAAAGGACCTGTTATAG